CCCTCATAAGGTTGTTGTTAGGATTACATAAGTTAACATATGTAAAGGGCTTCAAACAGTGCCTAGCACTTAGTAAGCTTACAATACTTGTTAATTATTGTTATTCCAGTACAAAATGGATCTCTTGATAGATCCAAGGTCTTTGCCAGGTTTCCTCCAGAGCACATTTTGTGTGTTGGATAGGCCTTTGGGCTACTATTATTCTACTATGTCTATAGATACTCAAAAATACTAAAAATACTCCTAGGCTTATATTTGCCATTTTGCATTGGTAGTCTAGCTATTCACACAAGCTCACCATATTCTTTCCTATCTCTGCACCTTTACTTGGGTCCTTTCCTCTGCCTGAAATGCCTTTCTCTGATTATTGATCCTGTTATCCTTAAAGGCTCTTTTAAAATTCGGCCTCTTCTGTGAAGTCTCTAATCCAACCAGTTGGAATTAACTTTTTTTTCGTCTTTGTTGCCATGGTCTGGACCCTTAAATTCCTAGGCTTGAATATAGAAAGGCACTGCATCACCTATATACACTTTCTGGCTTCTCATGTCTCAAATGCCCAACCTAGCATACAAGGCCTTTCTTAGTTTGGCCCCCTGCTTATCTCTTCTACTTGCTTTATGCTGGTTTTTTTCCTTTTGCTCACTCTTTTTCAAGCCATACCAGCCTTTTATCTTCTTGGAATATGCCACATTATTCTCCATCTCAGAACCTTTATACGTGTTGCTGCTTCTGCTTGGAACTGCCTTGTACCTATTATCCATTTGGCTCACTACTTTTTATTTTTCAGTCTCACTTTAAAAGTTACTTCCTTTGAGAAGTTTTCTTGACCTATCCAAGTCTGGTGGATTATGCTATCCTGTTTTGTGTTCTCCCTGCTCTCTGATCTTCCCCCTTTCTTGACATGTTTAAAAAATGTGTTTAATTGCTATTTTCCACCACACTGTATATGTCAAGAAGGCAGGCGTTTTATATGTCTTGTTTACTTCTGCATCTTGAGTACATTGCACCATGCCTGACGCTAAGAAAACATTCAACATATATTTGTTTCATGAATAAATTTAATCAGACTTATTGTAGAGATGGAAATATGGAGGCCCAGAAAGGGAGAGGGATTTGCTCAAGGTCACACAGAGAATTAGTGCCAGAGAAAAGAATGTAGCCCAGATCTCCTGACTCTTAGTGCAGTTCTCTTTTCCAGATATGCGCCTCCACTATTGTACTCATTTTTTGAACATGCTTATGTAGCATTCTGGTTTCTGGACTAGACTGTGAATTCCTAGAGGGTAGAGACCATGTCTTATACCTGTTTTGGTCAATACGGTAGTCACTAGCCACATATGGCAATTTAACACTAGAAACATGGCAAGTTCAAATTGAGATGTACTGTTTGTATAAAATACATACTACATTTCAAATAATGTAAAATATCTTATTAATAAATGCTTACATTGTTTACAGGTTGAAATAACATTGTGGATGTATTGAGCTAAATAAAATATGTTATTAAAATTAGTTTTGCTTATTAAAAATTTTTAATGTGATTATTATAATAATTGTGGCTCACATTACATTTATGTTAGATTGTTGTACATTTCTGTTCTGTTGTATGTTTATTTTTTTTCCCCTTTTGCCAAGCATAGAGCTTTGTAGCCAGTAGGGGCTCAACACACCCTTGCTGAATATAGTTAAGCTGTAGTTATTGGGTTAATTGTTGCCATTTATCTTGTCAATATCACTGTTTTGTGGGAGCCTCACAGTGAAACCTCTGTCCCCAGGCCCAGGTGTACAAAAAGTTCTTTAGTCTTGGCCTGCGGGTGCCCTACACATTGCACCAGCCTTTGTATTTCCTTTCAGAGAAAACCCCGATGCAATCCTATGCATAGCAATCACCAGGGTTGAGGTAGAGTGTGTGGACACCAGCCACTTGCACAGGAAGTGGCTTTAGCTTTGCAATTTTCCCTAGGGCCTCTTCTTGAAAGTCTTCTGAAAGGAGGTGGGGGGAAAGATAAACTCAAAGTGAAGGATGGGGGCTTCTCAGGTCCTTCATGAAGGTAGGGTAAGCTAAGCAATGTGGGGACATTGGGCTATGAGGTCTCTTTCTTTTGCTTATGCATTAACTCATTCACTTATTCACCTCACAGTTCTGGGATAAGTAGTTTATTCCTAGGCCTAAGAAGACAGTAAAGATCAAGCATAGTTCCTACTTTGGGGAGTGCTTGGTCTTCTTGGAGAGACTGACACCTAAGTGCAGTGTGAATGTTTTTCAAGAGTAGAGGAGGGCAAGGTGGGAAGCAACTAATTTTGCAGGTGGTTGTCAGAGAAGGCTTTCCAGAGACAGTGTGCATCATTTTTTCCTCTCTATCCTTTAAGATGTAGCCCAAATCCTATTCTTCTGAGAACCTTTCCAGTTACCATCACCTCCTCATCTTCTGCCCTGGGAGAATCTTATATACATATCTGATAGCACTTCATGCCTTTGTCAAATTACTTATTATATTCTGTAGGGTAACATAGCTCTTGGGGTGCACACCTGTCTTCCATTTCCCTTTAGCCTGAGAATCCTTCAATCTGATGTGGGGACTAAGACTCAGACAGGCTCTGTATGTTTGTTTAAGGTCACATAGTTAATGAGTTACAGAGCTTGGTCTATAACCTAGGGTCTAAGATGCAAGGACTCTAATTCAGTGTTCTTTCCATTCCAGTACTGAGGAAACAAATGAGTGTGTCTGCAGTGTGGTACCCCAGCACTGCCTGCTTGCTCCCCTTGTCAACTATTTTCCCTTCTTTCTCATCTCCCTCCACAGGCACACGCAAGGCAGAAATCATACAAAATGGGAATACTTTGTGACTTTTGGTTACTCTCCGCAGAAGCCTGGACAACAGATCAAAAAGAAGAAGCTCCTTTGTGCTGTTATTGGAAATTTGGCCCTTCCCAGCATAGTTTGTGTTTGTGGGCTAAAGAGGAACTCTGAGCTCAGTTCCCTTTTCTCTCATTCAGGCCCTATGCATAGGTGGTATGATTTTCAGAGCCTTCTGGTTCCTAATGCTCTCTTTTACTGCCCCTGTTGTTGGGCTCAAAATGGATACTGTTAATTACTACTTTAGGTAAACACATTGTCTCCAGAAACCCCTGTTACAAGGCCTGTAGAGTACTCTGATTGATAGGGGAGAAAAAAAAATGTGTAGCTAAACTTAATCTCCATGGTGTGCATAGGAAGAAGGGGGTCCCTTTTTAGCAAAGTGCCCACAGGACCACCCTACTTCTGCTCCAAGCTGTAGTCAGAAACCAAAGAGAAACAAGAACTGAATCTTTCTAGAAGCTAGATCTGGGGTCTTGAGGCCTGAGCCAATAAATTATTCCGATAGAAGGAAGTTTTCTACAGAGTGATGTTAGTGCAAGTGAATCCCTATCTCAGGCTTCCACAGAGCCTCAGGTCCTACGACCATGGGGAAGCCCACAGTGAGTAACGAAGAGCCACAAAGGAACCAGGGAATGTTTGAGTTGGAGTGATCTCCAAGACCATTTAGTCCAACCTCTGTTGGTTAAAGGAGAAACTAATGCCCCAGGAGGTAGTAGAGTAGGGACTGGGGCCCAGGACTCTTGGCTCACAGGATGTGGTCTTTCTTTGAACCTGAATTTATAAGAATGTATGTAGCTTGGAAAGATTATTTACCACAGCTTGAGTACCACTCAGGGCCATACTTCCACTAGTGTAGACAGAGGACTGTGCAGGGCACTGCAGTCATTGAAAGCTGTCAAAGTATACCCTGAAAACATTGTCCCTCCCATCCTTCATGCCATCAAGATTCATGGTGGAGGGCACTGCATGGTGGGAATTTGTCATCTTCCTGGCTGTTAATGGGGACTTCCTGGAGACTGCAAACATGAGGCACTAGGAAACCACTCACCCTCTTTTCACACTTTTCATGTCCCTCATTAGCCTGAAGGTCACAGTTGAACTTAGGGATCTGGCACTATCTTTTCTTTCTCAAAGTCAACTATTTTCTTCTCCCTTCCTTGTAGCCAGTGTGGGAAAGTAGAAGAAAACCTCAATATTTGGAGTTAGACCTGAGTGAAAAATCTGCCTTCTCTATTATTTTCTAGTTTTGTTTCCTTAGACAAGTCACTTTATTTCTGTGTGCCTCAGTTTCCTCACTTATAAATAAGAATAATAATACCATACCAGAAAGTAGTTGAATAAATAAGATAATACACATAAAAGAATATAATAAGTACTCTAATAAATGTAAATTTCCTTATTTATTATTTCCTTCTGCCAGCCCCAAGATGACAGAATGTGGCTTGTGGTCATAGCTGTGCCCCAGGGCCAGCTTCATAGGCATATGACCTGTACAGCTTCACAGGGCTCCATGCTTAGCAGACCCCACACTTAGTTTAATGTTCTGCTGTCATCATCTTGATATTCTTAAGTTTTAAATAAGGACCCTATCATTTTCATGTTTTACTGCACCTTGCAAACTATGTAGCTGGTTCTGTATGCCAGGAGAGATGTTGGAAATAAAATGGTATTCCAGGACCAGGAGGTATTCTGACAGAGTGAAAGAACACGTGATTTGGAGTCCATAGGGATGGGTTTAAATTTCAGCTTCGCCACTAATTTGCTTTGTGATACTGGGCATTTTCTTTTATCCCTTAGGGGCTCCATTTCTCAATTTTGACTACGGGTTTTTTCATTAGATAATGTCTCAGTTCTGGCATTCCAGATCTCCCTCAATTATTCTGGGAAAACCTCCTTGATCCACAGGCAGAGCCTAGGGCAGTCAGGTGCTTTCTACTGTCTCTCTCTGCAGCTTGGAAAGTTATTGTCTGTTGAAGGTCAGCTGGGAGTTGGTGGAGGCAGGGCAGTGGCCTGCTACTATTGCTGCAGTAGCAGACCCTTTCACAACAGCATTGTTTTGTCATTTTGCACCCAGATTTCCGTTGGCTAACCTCAGTCTTATCTTCCTCATTTCTGTTTCCTGTTGAAGACACCAAAGGCCCTTCAAAACACACAAGCTTCTTGCTCACGGCATAAAGCCCAATTCCCTCTGGCCCCTGCAGGTTGGCTCAGCACTGGGGAATCAGTGTCCCCTCCATGACCAAGGCACCACTCCACTGACAGGTATGGTATCCATTTGCCCTCTCTTCTTGGATTCCCAAGCTGGGGCAGTGTCCATGGCAGCCAAGGGTGGCTTGGATCTGCCCATCCCATTCTCTTCAGGCCCTCCTCAGGAATCAAGGTCAAAGGTGGGAGGAAGAAGGTTTCCACTGGCCTTTTATTCTAGAGCTTCTAGTAGAGGGGAAAAGGAGATATGATATTTTCTATACAATAGGATGTTTAGGACACAGTCACATGGAAATGGAATGTTCTTTGGACCCAGGAGTCAGGAAATCTTAGTAGCAGTCCTGATTTTACCATTTTCCCAATGTGTATCTTTGTTTAAGTCCTTTCTCCAATCTAGGACACAGTTTTTTTCACCCCTTTTGCAAAATGAAAAATTAAAAAGAGGAAAAGAATGATTAGATAAATGCTGTCTAGAGACTCATAGTTATTAGATTCCTTATTTTCATGATGGTCAGCCCTCTGTCAAGAAAGAAGATGAGTGTAATCTTTGCATATGTAACTGTGGGGCGGGGGGACTGAACACATCCAAGAGGAGAGTGCTGGTGGTAATCCATATAGCACTCTCTGAGAGGCATGACTCGAAGATGAAAGCCTCTTCTCTAGCCCAATCTTTGACTCCTAAAAGTTCAAAATTGAAAGGCTCTTAGGGACTAGGTACTTATGGAAAAAACTGAGGTCCAGAAAGAGGAAGAAAGGGACTTGCCCAAAGTCATACAGAGAATCTGTAGCAGAGCTGGGTGGTTCCCAGATCAGTCCTCTTTCTGCTCTATCCTAGGAGGACTGAGACATCAAGCAGCAGGACCTGTCCTGTAACTGACCCAGCTGGGCCTCCTCATACTAGAGGCAGTCTGGAAGTTTTAGGCATGGTCCTGAAGACTTCTTCTTTTCTTCTATTTTTCTTTCAGGTACTTGGTTCTCTCTGAGTGTTCAGAGATTCCTAGACACTTACTTACCCCTCGTTCTTCTGGTCTATTCCCTCCAATTCCTTCCATAAAAACTGACCCACCCTTTGTGTCAACAATAGAGGCTTGGTGAAGCTCTTCAATAGAGGATTTTGCATTTCATATGGGGAAAAATGATGTTATTCTAAGTAATATCTGTCCAAGAGAAGAGCTTTCAAATTCCCTTAATATCATCCCACATAGACATTTATCTCTTCTTTCTATGGGTCTGGTGAACATTTCTCAACTGAATCTGATTTTCTTACACACACTCCATTGGAGGGGCATGGACTAGAACAGCAAGAGTGGAAATGAAATCAGTTTAGTTTCAGCTCAGCTACTAACTCCTTCCATTAATACTGGAGCAATGTTGTCTATAAGGCTTTCCAAATTTCAAAGTACTAATAATTTTTTGCCCCTTTCATGCCTCCTTTCCAGGGTTTCTGGAGGTGAATAAAGTCAGAAAGGGCATTCAAAAGGCTGTGAACACCTCCACCTTATATAGGTCTTCTTACTGGAGCTGGCAGCCAATGAGGGTAATGATACAAAAAAGGTAACAATCCATTTCTTTCTTCCCTGCCATCCCCAACTCAGACTCTGTTAATCAGCATGCTTGGCTGGCCTCCAATCACAGGTCCAGGAGCTGAGACAAGGGTCCTTTTGAGCTCCTATGTGGGAGGCTCTGGAAAGCTTAGCAACACTTTCCAACAACTTTGCCAGGTAAGTTTTCTTGTCCCCATTTCCAGAGAAGACAACTGAAGCCCAAAGAAAGACTTCCCCAAGCCATGATTGGCTAGTTGATGGCCAAGACAGCATTAGAACACAAGTTTGTCTGATTCTTTCATGGTATATCTGGTGACCATGACTGCTGCTTTTGCTGCTGGTTGGCTTAGGCTGAATTGGGTAGGTAGAAAAGGAAGTGAGGGGCTGAAAGAGCTTTAGTTTTGAGATTACTGCCAGAACTTAAATTGAAGGGGTATGTTACCCCCTTACATTCAATTAAAAGAAATGAGCAAGAAAAAATACAGAGTGTTTTCTTGCTGAAAGACAAGGCTGAATCCCTCTGTCTTGCCTTGGCTGGGACAAGGCTTTCCAGCCTCATGGGGACAGTTTCCCATTTCTGGTAACCTTGGGAAGTTTGCAACTTTTCATGACAATATGTAATATAGACCAGCTACCTGCTCACAGATCAACTGCCACAGCTGGTAAGGGCAGTAATTTGATACCAGCAGCCTGGCATTTTTAGCAACAGGATCTGATTGTTGCCAAGGAAATTCTCCCAGAAGTCTCAGACCTGACCCTGCTCCTGTCAGCTTCCTTATTGCCCTGGTGGCTTGTGGGTTCACTGATCCCAAATGCTGCATTGCAAAGCTATTGCCTGTTTTTACCCTCTTTGTTGATGTGTCTCCCGTTTCCTAGAGGGATATACAGAGAAGGGAGGCAAAATAACCAATGAGGAAAGCTGTATAAGGCATACTGTTGAACTGTAAAAAACTTATTGCATAAACTTTACAAGTCTCCTCCCCGACATGAACCTTTGTTCTCTCATTTATAACCTAAGTGAGTGAGACTAGATGATCTTTAAGGGCACTTTAATAGCTGCCATTCTTGAGTCCCTATGGGACAAGAGGATCATGTTAGGCAAGGCTGAGACCACAAGAAATCAATGTCACACCTGTCCAGATCCTGCTAAATCAATTGCCAATAGCTCTTTCTTTCATTTTAGTGGTACAACCACTGCTTTTTGAGCATTTGTTATGTATTGAATACTGAACCAAAGGCTTTACATGCATTATCTCCTGTCATTCTCACAATAATCTTATGAGGTAGGTACTATACTTAATATATTTTGTGGGTGTAGCAAACTTGAACTCACAGAGGTGAAATGATTGATCGAAGGTTGGCTAGCTAGCTAATGGAAGAACTAGGATTTAAGCTCATGTTTAACCTCAAAGCCTATGTGCATAACCACAACACTGTGAAAACACAACTTGGGAGAATCGAGAAGAGGGAGCAAGGATGCTGTCTCTGGGGTCTGGTACTTTCCTCAAGTCAGGGAGGCAGGATGATGACCAAATTTTCCCATCTTTGCTGCATAGAGGAACCCATTGAAGCTTGGGACCCCTAGAAATGCCATAGCTACAGGATTCAGGCCTGATGAGCTTCCAGCTGAGCACTGGGTGTCACTTGGGCTTTACCTGCTTATCCTCAGGATCTCTCTTCTGGTTAGGAACTTTATGCCTGTTTTGCTCACTTTCGTATTCTGGTGCTTTGTCTGGTTCTTTCAGCAAGCTCCCTGGGGCTAAGGGTGTGACTTCATCACTTCTTTCTCTCTCTTTCCCTCTAGGGTCATATCTCCCAGGAAGATCTCACTTCCCCACAGAATCTCCTGGCCCGGCCTCCTGCAGTGCCACGCTCCGTGTATTTGACAAGCTGAGTTGGACACTCCGTGTGGTAGAGTGTCAGTTTGTCAAATACCCCAAGTGCGGCATATGCTTACCAGCTCCAGGCCAGGGCAGATGGCATATGACGAATGGACTGCCAGCTGGATACAAGGATGCTCACCAAGCACCAAGTTCTCATAAGTTATTTTATGTGACTCTGCAGGAACTGAGGCATTTTTTTCTGAGGACACCAGAGAAAAAGTGTAGCATCTCTGGGAAATACAGCCCTGGGCTGAGTCTACACACACCATGAGAGTGCTGACGGTGGTGCAATAGACTTGAAAATGTATAATGGGTTCAAGAATGGAAGTGCTCTTTGATTCTTTTTTATTTTCTTCCTTCACATTCCCCTCCCAGAGTCTCCCATGTAGGACATCAGAATTCTCACACAAGCATCACGGTTTATGTGAGTAAGCAGGGGTTAGAAATTCACTTTCTTGACACTCAGTCTTGCCTTCTAAATACTCCTTGATCTTGCCTACCTCTTCCCTTTTCCACATGTCTTTTCCTCTAGGAACACTTTCTCCGTTTATATCTGCCTATCCAGTTCTTCCTTATATTTCCTGTATCAGCTAAAGTCCAGTGTTTCCAGAGACTTTTGAAAGTCAACTTATACTTTTTCCTTCTTCATTCATAAAGCACTTCTTGCCTGGGCCCTGGTATGTGCCCCTTTCTCTCCTACAGTCTAATAGCAGTAGGAGAGAATTGCCCTCTTGAATTGTCAGTGACAACTGACAACTCTTGAATTGTCAGTGAACTTTTCTAGGGTTTTTTTTTTTTTGAATTCCCAACTAGATTGTGAGCTTCTAGAAGACAAGGCTATGTCTTTGATTGCTGTCTCCCCTACCAAAACTCAGTACTTTAGTTACAGAAAATAATAAACATATACCGATTGACTGACTTTCCTCTAGTCCACTAGCTTTGGGTTTAGGCTTTGGGGCCAAATTGTACTCTGGATTTTGAAAAAAAATCAAACTGTGAACACCACAATGTTATAGAGCATATGAGGTAGTAGCCAGCATGAAGGATTTTTTTATTCCTGAGAAACAGTGTCAAGGGCTGGAGGAAGAAGGCAAAATAGCAGACTCAGAGGGCAAATAAATTTTGGTATTACTTGATTACATAGAGTTATACAGGTGCTTTCTTGTAGGATTTTTCAGAGCCTTTAATAGTCTAACGTTGCATTGAGAAACTCAAAGAGGAAACCATAGAATGAGGCCTTTGCCGTATCTATCTGATCATGAATTTCTTTTCCCCCACAGGCGTTCTCCTGTGTCAATGTTTAACGAAGCATGATTTGGGAAACTGTCGTAGAGAGAAACTGTCGTAGAGAGAAACTGTCGTAGAGAAACTTTATACCTTCCCTATCTTCTGGAGATCTTTTCCTCTTTTCACTCATCTACTTTCCCCAACCAGCCATCTGCCTAAGAAAGGTCCCAACCTGATTTTTGTTTAGCCTATCCTGCAGCTGTGGACTATCTCTATTACATAGGAATTCTTTACTAGCTTGTCCTGCATTTAAAAAAATTCTTGAAGTTTTGAAGCAAAGGTGATCCAGATGCTGCAATAAATACATGCACTGAGGAGTTCACAGGCCTGACCTTTGGTCTCCGTTCTACTACTAACTGTGTTTTTGTTTCTCTCTGAGCTTCATTTTCTCATCTTTAATATGGGAGTATTAGAATCAGTAATCTCTAGGCTCTTTAAGACGAATGACTGAGATATCCCTGGGAGTCCTTAGCTCTTATGGAGAAGCATCCCTGGATGTGTGGCTCCTTTTACTGGTGAAAATGCAACCAGGATTCTCTTTCCAACACCTGCAACTCATTTTTCTATGGGTAGTAGGGAAAGATAATGGTTATTTTCAAAGGCTGTAGGGTCTGGACACAAAGTTGTTTCATGAAGGAAGTTGAGGTTTCCACTGGGTGGAGACCCTATTTCAGAGGCTTGTAAGCACGACAGGGAAGAAAGAGTTGTTCCTTTCGCCAACTAGGAGAAGCTAGCGTCTGGAATGAAGAAAATGTTGAGGTTTTTACCATGGATTTAGTATGTTGGGTGGTGAAGTGGAGGACTCCTTTTTGTTACTTTTGTGTACTATTTTGACTTCTGTAATCATCGCAAAAGGGGAGCAACTCCTTGTGAAACATGAACTGACCTAGGGGCTGCGTGGGAACCAGAAGTAGCAACATGGCAACTTCCTTGAAGAGTGCAGAAGTTGATTTGACATTAATCACATGGAGAAAACAAAGCTATGTCGACCTGGGTCAGAACAGGTCCTCCTCACAGGGGAGCCTGATTTAAAGGTGTAGGTGTAGGAACTTATGTAAACATACAAACTCTCTCTCTCTCTCTCTCTCTCTCTCTCTCTCACACACACACACACACACACACACACACACACACACACACACTTCCTAGCCCTATTCCTCCTTGAAGAGAAAGGCTTTCCTGCTCTTATCCCCACCTCACATTGTAAGAAGGGGACAGGAGCTAAAGCAGATAACCTGTGAAAAATGCAACTACCCCCCAAATTTTAAGCTTCAAAGAAGTGGAAGTGGTGCATCCATACTTTGGAAAGAAGGAAATCCCTTCGTCTCTGCATTCATAGTCCCCTGAGACAGAAAGACTTTTTCTTTTCTTTTTTTTCTTTTTTTTTGAGGCAGAGTCTCGCTCTGTGGCCCAGGCTGGAGTGCAGTGGCGCGATCTCACTGCAAGCTCCGCCTCCCAGGTTCAAGCCATTCTCCTGCCTCAGTGTCCCAAGTAGCTGGGACTACAGGCGCCCCCCACCACGCCCAGCTGATTTTTTTGTATTTTTAGTAGAGACGGGGTTTTGCCGTGTTAGCCAGGATGGTCTCGATCTCCTGACCTCGTGATCTGCCCTCCTCGGCCTCCCAAAGTGCTGGGATTGCAGGTGTGAGCCACCGCGCCCAGCCCAGGACTTTTTCTTTCTCAGGCTTCCAGTTGATGTGGGAAGAATCATCCAGGTGGACCTGGCAGGATGACATGTTGGGTAAGGGAAGCCAAAGGAGTTCTGTTTAATCAGGTATTCACTGTGCTCCAGCTGGACTTACCAGTGGAGTGAAGTAGGAGTGGCATGTGTGGGAAGGGAAAAGACCAAAAAAGCAAAAGTGACATCCATACTCTCAGGGGCCCCAGGCTTCTTAACTAGTCTCACTTTAATTACTTTTAGTAGTTCCTACCATACTGTGAGAGAAGACCAACATGACTGAAGTTGCTGTTATGATTATTTATTGAGCACCAGAAGAGAGTCAGAACATTAGACTTACAGTGTAGGAGCAGAACTGAACCCTGGTCTGTGAAATGACAATTTCAATTAAAAGCTGTCTGGCCCTGAAGAAAGAGAAATGATCCTGGATGCAATTCGTCCTCTGAGCTGGCAGAGCTGAGCCTCCCTCTGGTCTTCTGGTGGCAAGATGCCAAAGTTGAATAGTGTCTGTAGGCATGATGACCAAGTCCCAGTGCTATGGGCATCTTCCTTCTGGTATTTAGAGAGGAGTACCAGAAGCCCCCAGCAGAGATACTAGAAGGGCACAGGGCCAAATCCAGCAGCTGGCTTACTTGAGATGCATCTGGCAAATTCTAAGGCAAAGCCAGTGACTCCCAGGGGCCCCAGTGTTGGCAGGGCAGACACTTTGGGCTACCCAGGAAGAGATGTAGCAGGGAAGAAGGCCATGCAGAAGGCAAGGACTGAATAGGCAATTACGTCAGCAGATCCTGGCCTAGTGGGGCATTTTTAACAGGCAGTCTTGCCCTCAGTGGCCAGAAAATCATAATCCAGAGGAACTGTGTCCAGTAGGCGGGCGTAGTCGCCATTGATCTGGGCGATGATCTGGTACTCCTGTCCTATGCAGGGCTCATCAGAGTAGTTGTTGCCCAGATTCTGAGAAGCTGGTTCATCACTGGGGCAGCCACTTGCGAAGATGGCCACCCTCATGGTATCTCCAGAGTCGTTGGCCTCTCTGGCATGTACCCTATGGCCCAAGAGCCCACCACCCATAAGAAGGGGCTTGGGGCTAGTGTCCTGGTTTCCCACCCTTCTGCCTGAATTCTTGCCAATTAATTCTCAGGATCCTGCCACCCAAGGATTCTGGAAGCAGAAGGCAGATGGATCTAAATTATCCTTTGTGTTCAGGGGTCCAAAACAACCTCAGGAGGTGCCTGAGAGAGGGAAGACAGCTATGTCCTGACTCTGAAGGCCTCTGGCCTTAGGACTGGGTCTGTGCCACACCCCCCTTCCTCCATGTTTCCTGCCAGTAATCAAAATTGAGGGCAAGGACGAGGTAAAAATGGAAGAGGAGAGGCTTTCTTACCTGGCCGCTTCATAGACATGCTCTAGAAAAGAAGGAGGAATCATGTCAAAAGTTTTCATGGCAAGTGGACAAAGGTCAAGCATGGATCCCTGGTACCAGTCAAAAGATGAAGGAAGGGTACAGAGGAGGGGATTTTAATATGTCTCAGCTTTCCAACACCTGGTAAGTACTGGGGAGGTGAATTGAAACACAGAGATGCAAATTTATCAGGTAAAGGAAGGGGAAGCACATATGGTCACTATCCCTTTTGTCATCTTGGACTCAGGATATTGAGCTGGAGCAGTTTCTGGGTATGGGTGCAGGGAGGGCACTGGAACTGGACCTGCTCTTTACCCAGGAATCTCCCCCAAGGATCCCCAGAGAGTCCTTGTGGGAAACTTGACTGTAAGGCCGGATACCAGGAAGAAGGGGCTGGATTAGCCTGATGCCGATGACCATGACCCAAGCCACTCCCAAATGCACTCACTCCCACCATATACCCAGGAAAAACCATGGTATTGGTCACTATTGCTCCCTAGAGTCTGTGGAGGAGGAGTGTCCTATATTCCGTACAGGTTCAAAGGCTTAGGTTGGTGCAAAGACAGATGTTTCTTGGTACTGCCCTCTAGGTGCTTATAATTTTTCGGGGATGCAACTGGAAATTCAAGCATTAAATGACAACAAAGTAAACAAGAGCAACCACAGGAATTCTGCCTTATGGTAGAGCCCTGCATTTCTGTGTCTTGCCTCCCCCATTGGCCTATGAGCACCTGTACTGCAAGGGTCGTGTCTTTTTCATCTTAATATGCCCAGCACCTGTCACACAATAGGTGCTCAGTAATTATGTTAAATTAAATTGATGCCCTGAGGCCGTCTCCCTTATAGAAAGATAGGAAAGAGGAATTTTTGGAAATGAGACTAGGTATAAGGAAGTGGTGGGGGTTGAGAAAATTGGCTAGAGCCACATCACAGAGAGCCTGGAATAGAATGCTGCATTTTGACCTATATCCCCTGGGCCATAAGAAACCATGGAAGGGTTTTGAGAGAGAAACAATTTAATGTGGTTACGTTTATGCCTAGCCTCATCAAGACTATATGAGAATACTTTCATTTTAGTGCCCCTGGGGTTTGTGATCATGTGAGGTATCTGCTATCAAGTTCAGCCTCATGGTGATAACCATGCTAACTGGCAAAAGCCAGAGCTTATAATTAAAACCTGGGAGGAGATATTCAAGGCTCCCTTCTGATGGTGGAAATCCATCAGATCCATGGTAGTAACCAGGCTATTTTGGAGTAAGAGATAGTACAGAGAATAAGACAAACTGATGTTAGGCAAAATGACTAGTGCATTGGGCATTGAGAGATAGCTAGTTGTTTTTTTTTTTTTTCCTTTTAGAAACAAGTATCCCAAGTTTTTTTCCTCCTTGGTTGGTTCATAGTTTTTAAATGGCCCTGACAACTGTGCTGTCATTATGCCACTTCCATGCTTGAAAAAATTGGTAATTTTTAGTACCCTTGCAAGGCCTGGTGAAAAAAGTCCAAATTATTTAACCTGGCGTTTAAGGCCTTCTATAATCAGGAATAAACTTTCCTTTCCCACTGCACTTCTCTGTTGCCCATCTACAGAAGTTTTCTTTATTGATGACCCCACTCCCAGTTGTCTTTTAGGCCCTTACAACTTTGCTGATGTAGTTCTCTCTTCCTGAAATATTGTCTCCTTACAAATTGTTTTCATCCTCCAAAATGTGGTCTAAGATATTATTCCTTCTGAAATCCCTTGCTAATTACTCAAGCCTTAAATGACTCTCTTCTCCTCTGGATCCCTTTAGCATTGATTATCTTCTCTAGTTTTTGAGCTTATAGCCTCTATTGCTATATATTGTTATTGATAAATTCCATGTTTCTACTTTGAATCTCCTAAATAAATTGTAAGCAACTCGAGGGCAGGGATTGTGACTTCTCTTTCTCTTGCATCATTACAAGGTGACTCATTAGAAAGATGGCTGTACTTGACTGAGTACCAAAGCCTAGTGCTTTTAGTTCCATAAGTCTTATGCCATTGTTTGCTTGAACATCTGTCTCCCTGCACCCCCACCTTCACTCCCAAATTAGGCTGGGAGCTTCTTGAAGTGCCTAACACAATGCCTGATACAGAATTTAGGCTCAAGTATACTGACAGAAAGAACAAATGAGCCAAAGCCACTTTCTCATATTCATGACTAACCTTGTTGGGATGTCTTCCGACAGAGCATGATATAGGCCATGGTAAAAACCAC